AATGGAAACGGAGCCGCGGAGTCACGGCGGGACAGCCGGCCCGACGGAAACGGAGCCGCGGAGTCACGGCGGGCCGGCCCAATGGAAACGGAGCCACGGAGTCACGGCGGGCCGGCCCAATGGAAACGGAGCCGCGGCGGGCTGGGCCGAGAGTCGCCTCGTGTGCCGGGAGTGGCATCCTGTACCTGAAAGCTTTGTCCAAGTGCTTCTTGAACTCAGACAGCCTTGGCGCTGTGGCCACTGCCCTGCAGAGCCTGTTCCAGTGCCTGGCCGCTCTGTGTGAAAAACCTTTTCGTGCTATCCATCCTAAACCTCCCCTGACACAGCTTCAGGCCGTTCTCTCGGGTGCTGTCACTGGTCGCCAGAGAGCAGAGATCAGTGCCTGCCCCTCATGCGGAAGCTGTAGATGGCTACGAGGTCTCCCCGGAGTCTCCTGCCGGCGCGGGGCCGCGCGGTCCCGAGGCACAGCGCGGGGGCCGCTGCCGGCGCTTTGCGCTCCTGACGCGCTGCGGAGCGCCTGCCGGAGCGCGTGTGCCGGCTCCCGCGGCCGCGGGCGCGGCGCTGCGGCTGCCCCCTCAGCGGGGAGCGGCGTGGAGCCACCGTGCGGGACTAAAGCGCTGTACCCGCGGGTCCGGAGCGCTGCGGGCGGCCGTGGGCGCGCTGCCCGCTGTGAGGGGCACCCCCGCCCCGCGGCCGGGCAGGCTGCCCCGGAGGGAGGAACATTAAACATTAAATCCCACCCGGCCCCGTCTGCGCCGTGCCCGGGGCCGCCTGCCCCGCGCGGGGCACCGGCCTCGTCAGCCCGACCTTGGCCCCACTGCCGTGGGTGGGGAGCAGCTGCTGCCCTCGTGTTCAGGGAGCTGTAACGCTTTTGTGAATAAAGGAAAACACATAATTGCACTTAACCATAAGACCAAAATTAGCGTTATACTCAATAATTATGACATCGGCTCTGAAGTCTGTGAAGAAGGGATACTGACTTCTTATAACTGGGCCTGTTTCAGGGGGCTGTAAATTTATTATGACTTGAAGTTTATTTATTCTAGCCGGTCTGTATACCTTCCATTGTGAATTTCGCTCTTACAGACTGTGCTTAGGGAGGCCTGAAACTGAATTTGATCTTGAAGACCTCTTCCAGTCTTGATTAATCTATTATTCTCTTAGCAGCAGGCAGGCAAGTCTGTGTCCAAGAGCCCGGAAAGCCTCAAGTTCTGGAATATCAAAGCCACCCATCAGTGCAAGCTGGCTCCTGCCTTCCCATTGAAACAGGGAAGATTTCATCTCCAGGAGGAGCAACACAAGCAATGTGCTTGTGTTCTGTAGATCTCCAACTGTTTTAAACTTTAGAGGGTTGTTCATTGCTTTGCCAGATCAAAGTCTAAGTTATACTACTTTTGAAAATTATGATTCGATGTCTGGGAGAAAATGAAGCTTTTTAAATGTATATTGGTTTTAGTTAAAATAAAGTTAAGTATCAGCTTAAAAAAGTGTATTTGTTTCTTATAATTGATGGTCTTTGTACTGGGGAGCATTTCTGTTTTTCTCAGCCTTATATCCAAACACGTGCTCTGGATTGAATTTAATATTCAGCCTTTTCAATATCCTGGCCTTGTCAGGAAGGTTGCAGGAGAATATGCTGTTCTCATATTTGCCTTGATACAACTAAGTTGAAATTACTGGGTATTGCAGAGAGCAAATGAAACCCTTAATATTATTTTAATGCAATTTTGTGCAGAATTTATTTAAATAATGCTAAGAAATTGAAAAATAATTTTGATGAAATGGAGAAGGTGTTGTTTTTCAATTCTTGCATGGAAGATCTCTGGAGTGAGAGCTATACCCTATAAGGGAATTGGGAAGTTTTTTGGCAACATGCCTAAAAGCCACTTCAGACCTGTTCATAAGTTTGGATGGCAAGCCAACGTCCATTTTAATTCACAAAAGTGCTTAGAAAAACAACAGAATTTATTGGGCAATATCCAGGAGAGGTTAAATTCACATTCAGTCTGTACTGGAGTAGTAACAGCTGCTGTGAGGATTAACCTTTTTGATTGGTGGGATGAAAGGAAATATTAACTAACTATACTGTAGATGGAAGTATAGCAGGTTAACATAATTTATAAAGTAGGATCATTTATAACGGGTAGGTTGGTTATATTTTATTGTGGTTTAAATTTTGACTGAAGTGACAGCTTTAAGTAGGATATTTTATATTGATGTAGTTAAAAATGTAACACCAGCTTGAAGAATCGGTGTTGTAAAAATCAATAATGAAATAATGAATCTTTCTGAGCTTCTGTTATTATTTTCAATGCATCCCAGGACAGTTGCTGTTGGAAAATTGCAACCATCTGATGATGATGGGTGGATGTCCCCAGTGAAACCCATTGGTGGTCCAAGTCTGGATTCTACTGGGAAAGTGTCTATACAAAATCACCTGCACAGTTGGCAGTAATTTCCTTTTCACTGACAGTTTCAGGAGCGCAAAAGGATCAGAAGGCAGCTGGTGCTGAGAGTGCACCAGTTGGTTGACATCTCAGGGAAAGAGGAGACAAACGAGGAGCTTAGACGCTTGTGTTGTTGCTTTGCTTATTTAATTGATAAAATAAGGGGCTGTAGTTTACTTGTCTTCCTGAACCATAAATATGTCAAATTAGTAGTGAGAAGTTGTTTGGAAGGAAGAATTCTTTCTTGGGAAAAATACAGAGAAAAATACAAAATGTCAGGTTCGGTAACTGCGCATCCAATTGTTATGTGAAGAACACAGAGTGAACCCAGTCAGGCTGTGCATGTGTACACAGCTGATGATGTGACCTTTTTAGAGTTAATAGTTGATTCTCTTGATCCTGATAAGAAAAAGTCTGGCAATGCTGTGGAACATTATTCTGAAGGACACAATGGACCAGGTTGGATTAGTCTGAAGATAAATTATTTTTTCCAGAGAAGGCATAGAGTGCTGACATAGGAGCGATGACACAAACCTTACTATATCATCAAACCACTTTTTAGAGGAATTAAATACTACAAATGGTTTTGTTTCACCACGTACATTGAGGGAGCGGGTATTTTTTGCTAAAATTGTTGGAGTTGTCATTTTCAATAGGATTTCCTATTTTCAGAGTTGCCTGCTGAACCTCAGGTGCTGGAGCTCAGCTACAGCATTCTCACCCTGTGTGCCAGCTGCCTTCTGCTGCTGCAAGCATCCCCAGGGCCTGAGGAAACGTGATGCAAAAGGCTCCTAAAGCTGCTCCTTTGGTTCTGTCACTTGTAGCAAGTGCTCCTGCTCAGCACAGGCTGAGGACCTAATGCCCTTCGAGGTTTTATTTGTGCCGTGACTATTTGACGTCTGCGTTTCAATTCGAAGGGGAAATGACAAAGCAGGAAGGATTATCCGGGCACTTTATTTTCAGTTTTAAGCCTTGCTTCAGCCACGATTGCCCTGCACTCTGTGCTGCGTTCCTGTGGGCCACAGCGGGGCAGGAGCGAGGGCTTAGAGCAAGGAGAAGTGCCTGAGGAGCTGCAGAGAGTAATGTAAATAAACTGTTTTCATTAATGACCCACATTTGCCTCTGTCTCACATAAAGCTGCCATAATCTCACTTTAATAATGATAAATTAGATACACACAAAGACCGTTTCCACTAGTTGGGATTACATACATTATTTATAGTAGGAATATAAATTCCACTTCAGTTTATATTGTTTTCTTTGCTACACTATAAGGGCTTGAGCCAAAGCCCATTAAAGTCCTTTCCTAACTTCAGCGTGCTCTGAATTAGGAGTCCCTATTTTTCAAATTAGTTTTATAATTTCTTTCTCCTCTTGTAATACTTATCTTTTAAAAATAGTTACCAAGGAAAGAAATAATAGTACATATTCTGTATTATTCAAAGTGAGGTATAGTTTCAGTAACTGTTTTTTTCCCCATTCTTAATAGTTTTTAACTTTCCTCTACATCCTATCACAATTTCAAGTCCTGTCCTTCTGAATCCAAGTGCTTGCCAAGGCATGGTGAACTGTAAATCTGGTGTGCAGCACAAACTCTTAGGTGTGGGCAGGTGTGGGCAGGTGGGATGTGTGATCCCTTTGTTTTCACAGGGGAAGGAAGAGCAATATCCTGGCACATTTGTTGGTTTGTTTTGTTCTTTGGGCACAGAAAAATTAGCAGAAGATGGCACTCTCCAATTCAAAGGTTAATTATAATATTTTCCTTCTCTCCTGTTGCTAGCTCAAGTAGTCAACACCTTGTTCTCATAATTGTATTTTTATCTGTTTTTCAATGAAATCCAACACCTGAGAGAATCTCCTGAAACCAAAACTGTCCAAATTAAACCTAGATGTGTGTTGTGTGTATTGCCTGGCCTGTTGTCAAAGTTTGCATAAAAATCTAAATCCCATGTGTCTGCTAGTTACACTTTTTCAAGTTTTGCCATTCTTAAAAAGAAGCCTAGATGTCTAGTTTTCCTGCTTTTTTAAATCCAAATTTCATCTGGGCTATTGTCTAATTTTATGGTTTTTAATTTAATCATTTTCTCAATTAATTTACCTGGCAAAGAAACACATCCTCCTAGTTCTAAACTGGTTCAATAACACTCAGTGATAACAGCCAATTTTTGTTTCTTCCAGCCTGTTCTTGATTTTATTAATAGGCAACTACTTCACTCTTCAGTTGCCTCAGAAGGTGAATATATTTGTCTTCTTGTGACTTGTAACAGTTAAATGCATTAATTTTGTCTGCAAAACTGGTTCCGTTTCTATAATTTTGTTTGATTATTTTTTGCCAGTTTAACACCAAACATCTTGTTGCTTAGTGATGCCAAGAAACTACTCTTATCTGCATGCCATTCCCTTCTCAAGTTCTTTTTCCCCCTGAGACTCATCTGTCTGGGATTCTTTTACAATTTCACTTCTCCTTCTATGCAATTATTTTTCTTTAAGTCTCTCAATTGTTCTTCATAGTACCCCTAAGCCTGCCTGCCTTCATATTACTTTGAATTCATCTGGATTTACTAGGATTTGTTTTGTCACCTTGATTCTTCTTTTGTCTTTCCCCAGATGAAATTTTTTGGAAATAGCTCCTGTAGTTCACTATTTAACAGTCTGCACTTTTAAATTTACTTTGTTATTGTTGATAAAGGGCAATGTGTACCTTTGGCTTGCTATCATATATATAAATAGCCTGCATGATAAGGCCAACTTTTTTAACTATTTCATACCAATATCGCACTATTTGAAATAGAATCACCTCTCTTTTAAAGGTGGCTCTGGAGATGTGTTTGTGTATTTGTTTTTTTCCTTCTGT